GGAAAAAAAACATTGTATTGAAAGAAATGAACAGACTTTGCATTTAACTCCCTGCCATAAGTCCCTAATCCATGCAAGAATTTTGTTTTGGAGAGGCTGCAATGTTCACATTACAGGGCTAAACACACTTCTAGTGGCTGTCTCTCTGTTACCACGATATGGTGCTTTCGCATCCATAGCTGAGTGAGACTGCGTTCTTTGACGCTTGACATCCTTATACATTGAATGGGGACCTTGTTTTAAATATTGATTTTGTTTTATCTTTTAAAGCTTAGTTAAGATAAATCACTTACAGCAAGGTAAAACAAAGCCTTTATAGGCACTAATCAAAAACATACATTCGTATTGGACGTGTGCATGAGTTGCAGGTTGAACATTTTACACTTCACATATGAAAACTGAGCCCCAGTAGGCAAAAGACCACACAGTTAAGCTTCTATAATTATATGTAAAGTGACATGACAACAGAATAAAACACCAAAATAAATAAATAAAAGGTTTGTATGTCGCGATTCAAAGAAAAAAAACAAAAAACCTTCTTTAATGCGGAATATATGCATATTATGACAAGATTACTTAGTATCTATAAGGGACTGAGGTATGTCAACGTGGATCAGCACTAGAAATCAGGGCCTGGCCATGTATAAAGGTAGTTAAAGAACGTTGAGCAGCATAGATGTAAGAATAAACCCCTGTATGTAAAATGGAAGTCCTAAGCAAGACAGTGTAGAGCAGGGCTGTCCAACCTGCGGCCCCCCAGATGTTGCTGAACTACAACTTCCATGATTTCCTGGCTATCTGTTTCATTGAAAGATTCATGGGAGTTGTAGTTCGGCAACATCTGGGGGGCCGCAGGTTGGACATGCCTGGTGTAGAGCATTACAATAGAAACGAACTCAAGTACATGAGTGGTACTTTTTAATGTGTTAAGCGATATCACAAAAAGGGAATTTCTTCTCCTTTTTTAATTTTTTCCCCTTTCTTGCGGTTTCCAAATCCCCGCAAAAAGATGCTAGAAAAAAGAGAGTAAGGCCTATTATATGAGTAATACAGAAAAAGGATAGGGGGCACTCCCAAGACCTGCATTTTGTATGAAAGGTGCTGCCGCAGTGACCAAACTTCATACATAAAACAATAAATAGTTGCAGCGCACTCAGACTACAAAACAATATATAATACAAAGAAGGCTACTAAAATGCCTATCTGAGAATAAATATGGGGATTTAGTTCCACCATATGGCCATATGTTGTTAAACAACTATTTATTGTTTTATTACATGAGTAAGGCCTTTCTCAAGTACCAACTGGGGTGTATCCCACTGCCCCCAAGGACCTTATACCAAGCACATTTGGCCAGGAATTATATATTGCTAAAAAATTCCACCCCTCCCCCCCCCTGTCTTTCTCCTTTCTCATACCTGTCTCCTGCCAACAGATCCCCCCCCCATTACTACTTAAAGAGCACAACATCACAACAGTGCAGGACAAGCGCACAAATATACTAGGGCTATGCTCATTATTAAAGAACGGTGCCTCTCCAGGATGCCAACCACCCCCAAGCCAGTCTCTGACCTCCACCATTGCAGTCCCTGGCACAGTGGGCAATTGGGGACTGATGTAGTCCTTAGGACCCTGCAACAAAGAGTTTGCAGACCACTCATTTCTCCCTTCTCTAGCCACACACTTGGTGCAGGCGAATGTTTTCCAGGCCATGGCCTGAGCCTCAGTCCGGAAGTCGTGATAAATAAATTTACATTAAAAAAAATATATATGGTTCATATCCTGAGCAGGTGCTGCACAATTTGTCCCAATTCCTGGTTTACTTAGTGGAGAGGTCAAAAATATTGTATAGAATTAAGGCAATAGGAAAAAATAAACACATTCAGTTTTGCTGTAGTTTCTTAACCCAGACATGTTTCGGGCTATTCCATCTGCTGACATATTTCAGTATTTCACAAGATATGTAGGGCGGCAGAGTTTGTTGAGCTGTTTTTTTTTGTTTGTTTTTTGTTTTTGTTGCTTTTTAAAAAAAAAAAATTTGGTTTGTTTTTACCTCGGTAAATTACACAATTGAATAAAACATTAAAAATCCTATATGTAACATGATTAACTAGCACAATGTAATTGCAAAAGGAAGTGTATAGTATAGTACCTGAGTTACTGATGTCACTTTGTTCTAACTTTGAAGCACTGGCAAGAAACCAGGGAATCTGTCATGAAGGATTGCCCTGTGGGAAGAATTGTGCCCACAAGCAAGATTATTCCGATCAGACAGGTTCCCTTTAATACAAAATAACTCGAAGTTGTCCTTACAACTTTGGTGCCGGGCTTTTTAGAGTGACTGCAGGCATGAGGGATTCTTTTTCCTCTGTCTTCTTCATTCTCTTTCCAAGATTCCCTCATTCTGTGTTTTTCTTTTATGTAATAGGGGTTGGCTCACTATATCTTAATATAATGTCCATGCAGAGAAACCACTTACAATGTACAGGTTGCATGGGGATTATAGAGCTACCATTAGCTGTGCTTCAAAGGTAGGCAAACTTATAGTCTATGCACTCACGCAAGGCAATAATTAAGGGTCCTTAAACTATGTACATAAGCCAAACCGACTCATGCTCTAATTTTCCAAAATATAAATGTAACCCTGTTGGAATGATGTTGCAGTGAGCGGAGTGTGGGATAAGCTGAGGCTTATTAAACACCTGAACTCTCATGTGGCACATCATTCAGCGATAAGGTCGGGCTGGTTTATCAGAGGCACTGTGCTGTCCATGTGGTATATGAATACACATTATGGACATTTCCCTGTGTGTTAGAGGTCTATGAAAGTGTAAGTGGGTCTCTTTTTGACTTTAAAGTTAATAGGTTTGTTTGAGCTGGGTCCTCATTAACATCTTGTCCCTGTTACAATTTGTAATGGTTTGTCTCATCTGCTATGAAATCACCCTTTTTAAAATGGCAAAGTGCTGCAGAATAATGTGGCTCTATATAAATATAAAAAATAAAGGGTATTCACAATGTTTGAATGTATATTTAACATGGTAGTAAAGCAGGTAAGTACTACATCATCCATCCCTTGACATCTTACTGATAATGAGTGGAATTGATCAGCAATTCAGTAAACATCAAGTTATTGAAATGTAACTTCCATATGTAAGAACTGTTTGAAGGTCTGTATCTACAAAAGTAAATTAGCAGGTGAAAATATGCCTTTTTTTAATTTTATTTTTTACATCTCAGGAAAAGGAAGATTCCTTCTTCACAATGGATGAAAATGGGAATATCGAGGAAACCATGCTAAACATGTCTGTCAGTGAGGGGCAGCTCTTAGAACAACATACTATTCCCAAAGCAGAAGAAAGCGAGAGTGACTGGGGGAATGGAATAGATGACGCTGTTCTCTTGCAAGCCACAGACGATGTAGAGTTGGCAGATGCTCTAGAGCTCAGCCTAATAGACTGTAGTCTTGTAAACACAGAAATACCAGACATGCTTTTATTAGAAGCTTTAGATGAGCTTGACACAACCGTAAAGAAATAAATGGTCCAGCCCTATAAGTGGAAACGAGCAGTACCTTGCACTGTCTGTAAGAAGGAATTGTTTATTAGACATCTATATCACTGCATCTACAGAAAAAAAAAAAACATTTTAATTTCTCTGTTTAAACTTTAACTTCCGGTTCAAACAAAGAATGCAAGTGTAGTTTCTCTTTAATGGAAAGTAGAAATCCACAATGTTCTTTTTCTTTTATATTTTATATTTTTAAAACCAACTTGTAAATATGTTTATACAAATGTATTTTCATATAATGTATCATCTAAACAAAATAATTTATTCTAAACTATATATTTAGTGGCTGCAATTTTATTTTCAACCATTGTGTAGATCTAAAAAATCTATTGATAGGAGAAAACGTACAAAGAAAAAAAGCCAAAAACCTTCAATGTTATGTAAGTTTATTACACCACATGGAGTTATGTATAAAAAAATGTTTTCTGAAAAGTGGTTTAACGTAGAAAAAGTAGGACATTCCTATTTAAACCAATGGAACCAGAATATATATTCTACTGGGGTCTCTGTCCCTTTTCGATATTTCCGCCACTTTACAGATCTGTTAAGATCACACATTAAGCTGTCATAATAACTGACCTACAGTTATATTTGGTAACTGATACCAAAACCATGCACAGTATGATAATGGAAAGAACAATGCTTGGAGATTCATTTCCCCCCTCCCCCCCCCTCCTCATTTCTTGTTCTTCCTGTACTGTACTTATGTGTGCACACAGACTGCGTCTCTATTGATTTTGGTGGAACACCTGGGACAAGTTTTTAATACCTGGTATTCAGTTTGGTGGAGCATTTGGTATGCACCACTTAAAAGACTCTCTTATGGTCTGATTTTCATGCAATTAGAGCATTGCCTCTGTAATTGGACTGTTGCGATCTGACTCATACACTCACCAGATTCACGAAGAAGTGCTAAAAGTGCTCCCTGTAGTAATCTATCATTTTTCCAAATTGGCTTTGGCAGGCAGAACTCCAGGGACCAGTTTCAATAGCAACCTTTGTGGCCCCGGTAGTTTCATCACTCACTAGGAAGTGCTTCTAGTGGCTATGTGACCGCCACTAGACTTATAAAGAAGTCTCCCCAAACAGACCAGAAGAGCTAAAGCAACACCATAGTCAACAAAACAGGTTTAGCTTTACCCCTTAGTGACCAGACCGTTTTTCAATCTTCTTACCGTTTTCTTACCGTTAAGGACCAGGGCTGTTTTTACATTTCTGCTGTGTTTGTGTTTTGATGTAATTTTCCACTTACTCATTTACTGTACCCACATTTATTATATACCATTTTTCTCGCCATTAAATGGTCTTTTTTTTTTTAGGTGTTACTGCCAAAGAACACCCCAATATGTGTTCAGCAACATCTCCTGAGTACCATGATACCACCTATGCATAGGTTTGTTGGGTTGTTTGAGGGGTGCAATGCCAAACTTCTGACATGTGTTTTTCAAATTTGACATATCTTCTTTGCCTACCTTCTTTTTGGGGGCCTTTTTAGATATCCCAATTTATATTCTTGCCATGAGTGTGCATATATTTGGAAAGTTGACACCCCACAGTATTGTATATGGAGTGTTTTAATGCCTTTGATGCAATCCTTTTAGTCAAATAACTGGAGAAAATGTGTGGTTAATTTTTAAATTTTCATTTTTACACACACATTTGTGTGTCATTTAGGGGAGCCTGTTGTTGGTTATTGCAAGAAAACACCCCAGGTTGTTTTCTGCAAGGCCTCCTGAGTACACCCATGTCCGCCATTCATAGATTAGCAAGTATTTTGGGAAGGTATAGTTACAATTGAATGACTTGTAATTTGAGTTGAAATTGAGAATATTTCTTCTGATAGGCCTATCTTTAGTTTGTGGCTTATCACATACCCCAGTTTTATTTATTGCAATGAAAGTGTATATGTTTGAAACGTAGACACCTCAAGGTATTGTATATGGAGTGCTTTGATGCAACCATTTTAGCCCAAAAAATTGGAGAACGTGTGTGGTGGTAATTTTTCAGTTTTCATTTTTACACACACTGCTTTTTGGCTGATTTAGGAGTGCCTGTTGTTGGTTATTGCAAGAAAACACTCCAGGTTGTTTTCTGCAAAGCCTCCTGAGTACACCTATGGACCAGTGTGTGGGGCAATCAGGACAGTAATACTGTATCTTTTCTCTGTCCCCTCTTAAAAAAGACTCTGCATCTTTTCTGGGGATTCTGCTTTGCCGCAGGGGGGGGATTTTAAAAATAAAATGTGCAGCCCCAACTCTGCTCTCTCCCATCACCGCCCGGAGAGCAGTGCATCATGTTACAAAATCCCCGAAATGTTCTGGGACTGAAACTGTAAAAAAGCAAATTGCATTCCAGGGTTTGCTTTTGTGCATAGCGAAAAAACATTGTGGGTTGCATTCTGCATTAAGTAGATTGCAACCTTTTTGTACCAGGCACTTGTCTTCCGTATAATTAGGTAGGGCTGCAGCAACTGATCTGCCAGATCAACCCCACCCATATGCCAGTTATAGACCTTGATGCACACTGGCTTCCTTGTGCACTCAGCTCTGCCACGTACAGAGACCTCCACAGTCCCCTCAGTGTGGATGGTGGTAAGAAGGTATACATCCTTCTAGTCTCTGTACTTAACTGCGAACAGCTCCTCTTGGTGCAAAGCTGAGCTCTCCCCCCTTAGTAGCTGGGTACGTGCAAGTTGTGCTTGCGGCACAAAGGGACACTTGTATAAAAATTGTCCGTATACAACTGGTATCCTTTGTTCATCAGGGGGAATATCAGGTACCAGACAATCTTGCCACTGGTTCCTATATGTTCTGGGCAACCTGGAGGGTCAAGGTATGTATCCTTTCCCTCGTACACCTGGAAGGCCTGAGTATACCCAATCTCGCTATCACAGAGCTTATACACCTTTACACCTTTACACCATACCTGGAGTGCTTGGAAGGAATATACTGCTTGAATACCAGCCTTCCCTTATACTTCATCAGGGATTCATCCACGCATATATTCCTTCCAGGTGTATAAGCCTCTGCAAACTTGGCAGCGAAGTGGGTAATCAGGGGGCGGATTTTATACAGGTTGTCAGGGATTCATCCACGCATATATTCCTTCCAGGTGTATAAGCCTCTGCAAACTTGGTAGCGAAGTGGGTAATCAGGGGGCGGATTTTATACAGGTTGTCAAACTTGGGGATGCTCCCTAGGGGGCATAGGGTGTTGTTGCTGAAGTGCATGAAATGTAGAATAATTTCATAATTCTTCCTAGATATACACTGGGAGTAAATGGGGGTAGAGCAGATGGGGCTACTGCTCCAGTAGGAGCAGATGAAGGGCTTCTTTATGATGCCCATCAGCATAGTTCATGCCTGGAATTTTTTTAATTCTGGTACATCGATGGGGGCCCATTGCTGCTTTGCCAAAAAGGAGTCAGGCTTTGCAGCACGGAAATGATGGGCATATAAATGAGTTTGGGCGACAATGTTCCCCAATACATCATCGCCCAGAAACACCTCCATAAACTACTGAGGGCTAAATGCTGCGACATCCACATTGATGCCAGAACTACCCATTCCTCAGCAGCACTGCCAGCTGGAGCAGCACACCTATTTCTGGCAGGGGGACTAGCAGCCACAGATGCATCATAACTAGATACATCACTAGCAGCAGGCAGGGTCAGAGTCAGACATAGATGCGTCAGCCTATAACGCAAAGATGGCATACGCCTCCTCAGCTCTACACGACTTCTGTGACATGATCAGTCATTTTATTTAGTGATCTGTCACAAAAAAAAATTAAAATGCACAGACAGCAAAATAAGAGCCGGTGATCTATACAGTGATCACTGGCAGGATAGGCGTTAATAGCTCTGAAAAGAAAAAAAACAAAATCACAAAAAATGAACCCCCCAAAAAAGTGCTGCTGTGCAAGAGCCAGTGATTCAAGTGATCACTGGCAAAATAGGGATTAATGGCTCTGAAAAGAGCCTTTGGGCCTCATAATTTTACAAAGCATTACCTAAATCTCTCTAAAACAGATCTCTCTCACTAAAACACAATATTTACCAATATTGACATGATCAGACAATGTTTATTATAACTATGTTTATTATAACTGTTATAGGGGCAAGCTCTGATTGGTGTCCCTAGCCTACCTCTATACTGAGGCAGGATAGGGACACCCCCAGAAGCCCCATGATGCACTGCCTTTTAAAAAGTGCCATCTTGGGAGCCACATGGTGGGGGGAGAGGATGGTGGGGGGGGGTTAATAGGTTTAAATAATTTATTTAATTTTATTTTTTTATTTTCTTCTTTAACAGAGTGCCTCGACCCCTCAAGGCACTCAGCACACATGCAGAGCATCGGAAGCCTGTCCGATGTCTTCCGATGCTCTGGTTAACAGCTGGGCACCAGGTGGAGCATCCCGGAAGTGATCGCGCCTGGCAGTAAGGAGAGGTGTTACACAATGGAGGCATCGCTGCAATACCATCAATAAACTGCAATCTTTAGGTTTGGATTCCAGTATTGTTGAATGGGTAGCTGAGTGACAGGCAACAGAGGATTGTAGTCAATGGAGTATTTTCTAAGCTTGGGTTTGTCAACAGTGGGGTACCTCAGGGATCTGTACTGGGACCCATTATCTTTAATATTTTTATTAGTAATATTGCACGGACTTGATGGTAAGGTATGTCTTTTTGCTGATGATACTAAGATATGTAACAGGGTTGATGTTCCAGGAGGGATAAGCCAAATGGCAAATGATTAAGGTAAACTAGAAAAATGGTCAGAGTTGTGAAAACTGACATTTAATGTGGATAAGTGCAAGATAATGCATCTTGGACGTAAAAACCGAAGGGCAGAGTACAGAATATTTGATAGAGTCCTAACCTCAACATCTTAGGAAAGGGATTTAGGGGTGATTATTTCTGATGACTTAAAGGTAGGCAGACAATGTAATAGAGCAAACCAAAACAAAGAAGATTCGGGATATGGCTGTATAAATCTACAGGAAAAACAAAACATAGTGTGATATTGTTATGAAACACAGTATACTGTGCGCAGTACTCTTTTTCACTCACAAGATATGAACGGAATAAGCGCTCTTAGGGTGCCTCCCCTGATGTAATGGGGGGCTAGCTGGTACTTCTTATCACCTCTGGATCCTTGTTCCACCAAAAGACATCCACAGATCAGGTTTCAGTAAAAAAAATTCCTTTTTATTCAATATAAAAATGTAGTCACCAATTATACCAAATATTAATAAAAAATGTTGATAGATATATTAAATGGAGATTGTATGAGAAGTAGTTATTTATTGTACATCATTTATTATGATTCACCATTCTAAAGATTTTTATGGAGAGGATTAACATATTGTGGTAGATACACTGAATTGTGTTTATAAATAGCCTATATATGGTGATATACAATGGAGAAAATCCCCCTCCCTGTGTCCTTAAATAGGGCTAATCCCTAAAGTCCATTACAGGCCTACTGCTCTGTCGGTTCTGGCACACCACAACCGACTGGTGTCATTTCAATATGTCTATTGGTTATGATATGCTATGTTACACTATCATCACGGCTATATTGCCCCGACTACATATATATTATATAATGACACCAGTCGGGTTTGGTGTGCCAGAACCGACAGAGCAGTAGGCCTGTAATAAAAGTGGGCCCACCTTAGAGGGTGATATGAATAGAGGGAGCGGTGAGAGGGGTGACTCGCCCGACTATCCACGGTAAGGTGGGAGAGGGTTGACAGCCCTTTTAAGGGAATTCAAGCCCCTCCCACAACTACAGGCCAAGGCCTTACATTTGGAGTCGGGGCAATCCAGCCGTGATGATAGTGTAACATAGCATATAACCAATAGATATATTCAAATGACACAAGTCGGTTGTGGTGTGCCGGAACCGACAGAGCAGTAGGCCGGTAATAAAAGTGGGCAAAAAGAATACCATACAAAATGTAATCATAGAACCACTATTGTTTACTTGGACAAGTCATGAGAAGCTTGTATTAACTCTTTAACTGGTTTGGCATGCCAAGAGCCTAGGCGGAGAACCTCCCGCGTTCCATAATCCCAATGACTTGAGCCGGAATGTGATTTGAGGAAGCTGATGATGCTGCCCCTATGTGTAAGGAGTGTCCTGAGGAAAGGTTTGTATTAGGCCGAGCCTAGTTAATAATGAGTGAACATGAAGCATGACTTAAGATACTGAAAAAATGGAGCCGTGAAGTTCTGATAATGGTTGGAGTGGTTGTATCTGGAAAGTGGAGCCATAAGTCTCCAGAACTTTACAGGGCACCATTGTTTAGAGTAGGTAATAGGGTATTGTGACCGTGTGCGCTTTAGGGATAGGTTTAGACTGATGCAGAGATAGGACCTAACGATCTATGGTGTATGGATATCAGTAGTACCCAGGTATTCAGTGGTAGTTATATTTCTAGCGATAATTCATTGGGACGTAAGAACCCATGGCCTGCTAGATGTATGGCTGTTTGATTATCGTATGGGTCAGGTGCTCACAAGAAGCTGAATCTAATAAATTGGATAGTGAATGCAATAGGCTGTGTGGATGGGTAGCCTTTGATAAGGTACATGTGTCTTGAATTTTAATTCCTTTCAGTAGGCCTTAATCAGATAAGATGAAAGGAATTCTGTATTGTTGGGGTGTCGTAGGAGCATGTGGTATTGGCTATCCGTAAGGTACCGTATAATTGTGTTGAATGATAATTTAAGTTAAGGTGGCAAAAGAAGTGAACCCCAAATAGATTCGATAGCAAACATTTCAAGAACTTGAAACTCCACTATGGACACTGAGAAATATGAGAACACTCTATCGCATGATCCCCCATTGTCGACTGAAAGGTGAGAAACGTGACGCTCAAGGTTCAACCAAACATATAATCCATGAGTATGTCTCTGAATGGCGGGGCAGGTCAGCCAGTCAGGAAGTGGTGGGTAGTGTCTGGAAGAAAGCCCGAAAAGGAAAAAATCCCCGCCAGTGGCCAGCTGTGATGTATGTGAAACCCGGCACGTGACAGCATGCGGTAAAGGTTAACAAGTGGCTACCCATGTGAGATCAACAGTCTCCAGAAGACCTGAGAAGAAGAGTGGCCTACAAGCCCAATGTGTCTAGGTGTACCTGAACAAACTCCGATCAAGTGACCGGACCATATAGGTCCTCAGGTAAAGGCAGCTGTCATGATCGGATATCATTCAAACATGGCCGAAGTAGAGGAGAAGCAGGGCCGGGATTTAATGTCTGTAGGCCACGACCTCCAATGCCATCCATCCCCTTCGATGGCCGCAAAACCAGAGTTTGCTGCGGCATCTGTTCAAAAGGGTGGGTGAAAAAGTCAGAGAGGAGGGAATAACATGGCTCGCCCATACCAGAATTCGAGGAAAGCGTCACATGAGTAAATCATAGGTTGCATGAGTGTCTAACGTGATACGTAAAGCGTCTGTTGTGAGTCGTGGGACTAAAAAGAGTAGAAACGGGAAATGAAGGATCAACCCTGTAGGACGAGTCTCATGGTAAAATTGATCGACCCCAACAGAAATTAAGTTCCTTTCGGTTGCAAGACCTAGTTGCAAGTAGTGGTCAATGCCTGATCGGGTGTGCTCAACCCTATGTCCTGGGGAAGGCTAGCCAGTCTGTTGGACGGAGTCTTAGTAGGAACCCCAAAACTGCCTGGTGGTATCAGGACCTAAGATCATGAGAGAGGAGACTGGGGTAGCCAGGGACGCAAAAACCAACCCGTGAACAAGGCTGCTAGGATTGTACACACCAACTCTAGGTCTATTAAAGCGGTTTCCAATTAATGCATTCTCGCGTCCCAGTCGTCGATATGTACTAAACCCATGTGGAACGCTTCAGTCAGCCCTTGGCCGATAACCAGACAGACTGCTGTGGTGGTGATGCAAGCGTGATGAGGTATTAGGAAAACTATATACGGACCCATGGATTTTGCATGAGCCCGGGAATAAACAGAATAAAACGTGTGACAACTTACCTGAACTAGCACCACCAATCCTTCTGGAACTTGATAAAACAGAAAAATAAATATGCAACCTAATTATTATAAGTGAGAAGAAGGGACCTGGTACTGGCAGTCTATCCAGAAGCCAAGCGGCGAAGAATTAAGCTAACTCAACGTGACAGATGAGTCCCTACTAAATGCCAAGCGGCGTGAGAGGCGCTAACTATGCGTTGGCCCGATGGGATACGTTGTGGTGGGGTGTTGGCCTCTCGGTGATAGCTAAAGCATAAGATAGAATGAGAGTGACATGGGAGGCCCTCCCTATGCGACAATGCGAGGCGGCTAACTATGATTTGGGCCTAGGGACGTAAACCTCCGAGTATGAGGATGGGTGTTGGCCTCGCGGGACCACTAACGTGTGGATTAAAACCGGAAAACAGAAACCTAGTTGGGCAACCTAAATCTCGAAAACCAGTATTATTTTAAATAGAAAAGGTACGGGGTTGTGAAAACGTTCCTGATAAGTGAGCGTTAGGACTAGATAACAAGCAGAAAAATAGGAGCGAGAGGGTGGCAGTAGATACGTGCTGCAACCTAGTAAAATGATATGGGGAGTATCCGTGCGTACAGATTATGTGAGTGGGCCCTGATCGTGGACCCGAACAAGAAACGGAAACCTACCAGAATCTTTAGATAAGCAATGAAAATATGACAGAGGTAGGAGACGGAATTGCAGAGCATGTAAAGCAGCCGTCCTGTATGATCAAGGCACCTAAAGACAGAGATATGTTATAGCCCAATAAATAAACTTCCAATGAGTACAACGTAAAACTACATTATCAACCTAAGAAGGCAAAGTATGTGAGCAACGATGTCACAAAAACTTACACTTAATATCCAGGCATGAACATGTAGGAATATCTTGACAATGTCAGTGAACAGATAAATGTAAAAAAGCAGCTGAATACCGTATATTCAGAATAGTCACACAAAATTCCTATAGCTGGAATCCATAATAACCCACTAACCCATAGGGTCACAAGACATAAAACCAGGGACATGACATTACATAATCAGGCCACCAGGAGGCGATATGACTAAAACCAGAAAACGTATAAATGAACGGCTGGAAAACGTGGAGACGAATGGCCGGAATTTAGCTGAACTACAGACAGCAAAACCAGTTCAAACATAAACACATATTTTGACCAGATATTACACAATCAGGCCACCAGGTGGCGAAATGACTTACAACCAGCTGAAAATGTTTAACCGAATGCAGGAATAAATCTGAACTAAAGGAGAAATGAAGGTGGATGAACAGTACTCTAGTACCACCGAACAGAAATTGCCGAACGCGGCCTGAATAGCGTGATTCAAGCGAGCCGCGTGTGTAAGAACCTGCCGAACGCCCCCGTACAGTATGACAAGCCGGCATGTTGCCAGGTAACCAAACGTACACGATTATCTGGTGTGTACGGGGGGAGCTTATGTGCGAGAGGCCGTGCATGCTGATGCGGGGCATTAGGAGGAGGGGGACCGATCTATTGACCCAAGAGGCACCTGTCACGGAAACATACTCCATTGGAGAAAAAACCCACACACAACTCATATCCAATGTCACAACAACAGTGCCCCACATCCCCCCACACAACACAACTTTAGCAATAAAACAGCGTGGAACGTTGTCTCCCCGACAGTGTTGATACCACTAACCCCATGTGGCACATGTGCAGTGCGTGATGGGATCCGAGCTGCCCCGTGCAAAACCGCCGACACTGCCGCTGCTGAGCTGTGGCGAGAACACACACCATGGCCGGAACCAGACTGACACCGGCCCTGCAGGGATCGCATCCAGTAACGACCCTGTGAGTGATCACCCGTGTCCTACCCCATAGGAGGAGGAGAACACCCGGGGAAACCGGCATGTGACTGCTCCAGCACAGGGGGCTGGGCGCCAAGTGATACAGATGGTGCACCCGGGTACCCATCTGTACTCCCCGTCAACCGCGGGTATTCACCGTCAAGTGCGGGGACGAAGCCCTCCAACAAGAAACACTGCATACCCCCATGACACATGAGAGTCCGTGGGGTGTCTGCAGCACATTCAAAATGCACATTCAACGGCGCCAGGTACCCTGGCGGTCGGCCACCTCTCCGGCATTACACTGACTGTGCACAACTGTACCCGTCTACAACTCACGAACAAAGCTGGCAGGCACTGCATCGATAGCGAAGAGGCCCATACGCAGGAAACCCGGAAGTACCCGCAGACAGGTCTCGAGGATCGGCAAGAACCAAGATGGCGGTCCGACCGGAAGTGACTGACTCGCCAGACTATCCACGGTAAGGTGGGAGAGGGTTGACAGCCCTTTTAAGGGAATTCAAGCCCCTCCCACAACTACAGGCCAAGGCCTTGTATATATATTTTATATGATGACACACCCTTCACACACAAAGCATTTCTGAAAACTAAAATGCTTTAGAGATCCGGAGTGTCCCTTTAAGCACAGGTAATACTTTACGTTGTACCTATCGCTGCTCTAAGCTGTCAAATTGGTTTCAGTCTTCTGCTGTATTAAGAATGATTACTTAAACTCTTTCACCACACAATCTACTTTGCTGGCCATTTAACAACACCATACACGCAACATCACTACATTCATCACTCTCTGTATCCTACAAGTGTTCACAACAATTAAAAACCAAAGAAAATCACATTTCTGTTTATTTTAGTGTTTTTTACTATAACACCATACACATTACTTTAATTTTCTGACATCCCTTGGCAGACATGTTTAACTCCCTTCTGACACAGTACTGTTCATGTGTCTATTTTTCTAGGGAACACAATTGCTTTGGTGAGCATGGTGGTAAGAAATGCCGGATCATCCAACCCAAAGGCTTCATACTGTTGTGCAGTCAAGCCATTCACATGTGTTATAATAGTCACCAGGCTTGTTGTATGTCCATATTCCAGCAACATTGTGCAGAGATTCTTCAAGTACCAGTGTTTAGGATCTAACTTTTTACCTATGGCAAATAAAATGAATACAACTTATGATCAAATAAAATATTTTTTTTATAGAGCAGGACAATTCTAAATTTACTGAATAAGGTCAATTATGGCATTTTATCAATTTGTTTGCTTCAGTTAGTGCACGCCTAAAGATTAGTAGAAGTCATGTTTTATATAGTGGGATGGACAGAAAAGATTACCCTCCTGACTACAATAAAATACTACTAACTAACATAACTTTGCTGCAGTGACAATTAGTAGAAGGCAAATTTTTTCCATAAATACTGTCACCATTTGCTATGTACAAATTGGCATCAAGCTTTCATGAGCTAAAAAGACAGTTTTTGGTAGAAAATGCCTTGTCTAGTGCTGGACAAAACCCTTTCAGTGCTGGAGCATGATGCCCCACTGTGGCACTGAAATCAAAAGTAAAAAAGTGATGTTGATTGTCTCTCTTGAATATCCATAAATATGCCTGATAGGATAAGGAATATTTTACCTAGATACTTTTCTAGCAACCTATTTCATTACCCCTACTTTTACTCTTTGTGTCACTATACCCCACTCCCTCTAGAATGTAAGCTCATTGAGCAGGGCCCTCAACCCCATCTGTTCTTGTGCGTCCATTTGTCTGGTTACAATTACGTGTCTGTTAGTCCAGCCAATGTACAGCACTATGGAATTTGCTAGCGGTATATAAATAATAAAATAATAATCATAGTCATGTTATTACCACGTTTTGTACAAGAAAAAGTACACTCAACATATTTTATATATACATACACAATACAGTATTGCTAAATAATACTGCGTTTCAAATTCACATAATTGGAATAATTCCCTGACTGTTTTTCCAGCTCTTTAATTTGACCAATAATTTGCAATTCTCAATTTTGTCTAATTCATAGTTTAATGAATAAACTCTACTGTGCATTTGTGTGTAGTGCAAAAACGTGTTTGAATGCTCATTTGTACTTTGGTGTGAACGCACTTGTCATTTAATATATAGTAACAATGTGACTGTATGGTGTATTTGTGCTTGTGTCAAGTGTGTAAATTCAGAATATCATTATGCAGTGTGACAGTGTATGTGAATGAAAGTTTGTGTTTATGTCCCATAGCATTGGGACTCTGTATCACGCTGCTTTGTGTTTCTCTGACTGTGATCCCAAGACTGTGACACACTAGCGGTATATGATAGCATCTTCAAACTATGTGTGCCTGTCTTCTTGCCAGCTTGGTGTGCTTGCATCCCTCAGCTTTGTTTCCCCTAGCTTTCTCAGTCCTCCAACATGTCTTGTTTTCTTACCAGATGATATAAATGAGACATAGAGAAAATCTCCTTGTGCAGGAATTTTGGTGATTTTGCTGTTTGAATTAGAGTCCGTCTCAAGAAACGAGTACATATCTTCCCCTTTAGTCCCCTAAATAAAGAATAAAATAGGAAAGCCTCTATATTACTGTGGTGGCAGGAAAAACATCACAAATAAATACAATCACAGTTATATCATAGTTACATAGTTGAAAAAAGACTTGCGTCCATCAAGTTCAGCCTTCCTCACAAATGTTGTTGCTGTTGATCCAAAAGAAGGCAAAAAACCTGGTCTGAAGCACTTCCAATTTTGCCACAAACTAGGAAAAAAATTCCTTCTTGACCCCAAAATAGCAGTCAGATATCTCCTTGGATCAAGCAGCTATTACCCCACTAATTAGAAATTATATCATTGCATGTTATGTTTTTGTAAGTATTTATACAATTTCAGTTTAAACATCTGTATGGACTCTGACAAAACCACCTCTTCAGGCAGAGAATTCCATATCCTTATTGTTCTTACTGTAAAAAAACCTTTTCTTTGCCTTAGATGAAATCTCCTTTCTTCCAGCCTAAATGTGTGACCTCGTGTCCTATGTATAACCCTGTTTATGAATAGATTTCCAGATAAAGGTTTGTACTGGCCCTGAATATATTTGTATAAAGTTATCATATCCCCTCTCAGACGCCGTTTTTCCAAACTAAACAGATTAAATTTTTTTAACCTTTCTTCATAACTAAAATGCTCCATTCCTTTTATCAATTTTATAGCTCGTCTCTGGACCCTCTCCAGTGCCATGATATCCTTCTTTAGAACAGGTGCCCAAAATTGCACAGCATATTCAAGGTATGGTCTTACCAGCGATTTATAAAGAGGCAAAATTATATTTTCATCCCGAGAATTTATGCCCCTATTTATACATGACAAAATCTTACTGGCCTTAGCAACTGCAGATTGACATTGCATATTGCTGCCTAATTTGTTGTCTATAACAATTCCCAAATCCTTCTCGTGTGTGGTTATGCCTAATTCACTACCATTTAGTGTGTAAATTGCTTGTGCATTCTTAACCCCGAAGTGCATAACTTTGCATTTCTCTATGTTAAATTTCATCTGCCATTTTAGTACCCAGTCCCCCAATCTATCCAAATCTCTCTGCAGCAAAGCAATATCCTGCTCACATTTTATTACTTTACAAAGTTGTGTGTCATCTGCAAACACTGATACATGGCTTTCAATGCCTATTTCAAGATCATTTATAAATATGTTAAATAGAAGTGTTCCCAAAACAGAACCCTGAGGGGCACCACTTACCACTTTTGTCTAGCCTGAAAATTTACCATTAATTACAACTCGTTGTACTCTATCCTTAAGCCAATGTTCTACCCAAGAACAAGAATATTCATCTAGACCAATTTATTTTAGTTTGAAGACTAACCTATTGTGAGGAACCATATCAAATGCCTTGGCAAAGTCCAAGTAGATCACATCCACTGCAACACCCTGATCTATACTTCTACTTACTTCTTCGTAGAATGCAATTAGGTTAGTTTGACATGACCTATGTTTCATAAAACCATGCTGACTATTGCTAATAACAAAGTTCTTCCCAATGAATTCCTGAATATTATCCCTTAATAGCCCTTCAAATATTTTCCCAGTTACAGAAGTTAAGCTCACAGGTCTATAATTTCCAGGCAAGGATTTTGAACCCTTTTTAAAAATAGGAACAACATCTGCCTTCCTCCAATCCTCCGGTACAACACCTGAAACAAAAGAATCTTGAAAAATGAAATACAGAGGTTCACTTATTTCCCCACTCCTCCTTAAGTACTCGTGGGTGAATACCATCAGGCCCCGGAGCTTTATTTAATTATGCCTGGTATATAATGTTATGGTACACTTTAACAGGAGAACCGCAATGAAAAGTCAAAGGACCTGGCCTATTGAAATCGAGTGTTGGTTACATTTATTCTACTCCACAAACCAAGTGTCCGACTATGAATGGACTAGTTATTTCTCATAGACCAACATGGGAAGAACATGTATTCACAATGAGGATGCCAGAGGGTTGTGTCACGGCTTTCAGATTTCCCCATTATGCATCACCACCAGAATTAGAAAACTATATTCATATGGAAATAGTACTAAGAAGCAGATGTAGAACACTGCCATTCTCCTGCGTTCACTGGATAATATGATATCTTTAAAAGGATCATAGCCCCATTTAAAGTTGCAATAATGAAAGTAGGAGCCGCACTCAATCCCAGCAGCCACACGGTGCTCCGGAGTAGGACCAGCAATCCCACAAAGATAATGCAAAACAAGACATTTTCAAGGTGTTCAAGCTGCAGGCAGTTTTAATACAAGAGGAAAGAGCAGCAATGTTTCAACCTGCCAAGAGGTCTTTGTCAAGCTACTTGACACTACTTGAAGAGGGCAGCTGCAAGGTAATTACATTCAGGGTTTCATGACAATTTTATGTATGTACTCCAGGATGTAGCGATCTTCAGAAATCAGTCTAATGGCAATACAGGTTATACAAACCCAGGATTCCTTATAAAATATAGGTATGGTAGATTTCAATTGATCTCATACTCACCAATATAAAGAATATCTTTGGTTTTCCTACAAGAGTTCTGCACTTATCCCCTGTGAATCCCTCTGTGAATTGTCTGGAATCATACTTGTCAAATATGAGATCTGTTTCATGGATCAAAATTATACAAACAAAGCAACTGTTCTCGCTGTGGTCCTCTTTGGCAACTGAAGCAACAGAAATGAAAAGGGTGTTAAGTAATAATATAGTAAGTAATACAAACACCTGTGTGAATATAACATAATACAGAGTGTACCCTGCTATAGTGGGCTGTCACTGCCATAAAGTGTAATGGAATAGGTGACAGTAACTAAGAATTTTTATACAATGTGTAGCATGGTTTGTTAGTTCTACAATACTGAGATTTGGGACAACCTAGAGGTTGTGTTATTT